AGCGACGAGCCCTCGCTTCGCGATACCTTGAAGCAACGATTGGCGCAGCTCCTCCCCAAGATTAGCGTGGCTGGAAAAACAAGCGGGGTCAATCGACACATCCGACACGCGGGTTCCTACGGCTCAACCTCGAAGCGCGAGGAGAACAAGCCACCGTCATCAAAGTCGCTTCTCTGCTGTAAGTCTGATCCTTTTTTTACTTATGACTTGGGCACTGACCCATACATAATAGAACTTCGTGAAATTGCGGGCAGATGTGTTCCATCGCTACCGCCTCATCGCATTACGGAGAACATGTTTTGCGCGAATGTCACCGAGATCAACCCCATCAAGCCAAGTGACTTCATGATTGTGTTGCATCCTGCGACACGGCAGGTTGTCTTGTGCGAAGGTAAGCTCGAGAAATCGCAACCGTTATAACTGCATTCTCATGATCACTCGATAGTGGCAACCATGTATACAAGGACTTCGACACATGAGTGGATCCCAGCTGCCTACAGCGTCGGAACGCCATCATACGTATATGCGTGGCTTTACACTTCTCTCGCTGGGAACATCTTCTCCTCCATCGCGTGTAAAAAGCTGTCATGTCCCCATCCTGCAGATTCCTCGCACCCACATCTTGTACTCTCTCGCATCGTTTTCGGGGATCAGTCAACAGGACGTTACCACCGTTGGCGGTCATCCCCACAAGCTGGTCACCTTGTGCGCGGACTCGTTAATGGTCATGCAAGTGCTCTCCGAAGTGACACCCGCTGTGAACTCAGCCGTCAACGCTCTTGTGTCAGCCAAGTGCTCAGGAGGCGCGGAACCACCCGCAACAATATTGCCACCCCTTCTGACTTCGACAACTCTGCCATCCACCGAAGATGATCGTTCCGAACCGGAAGACGATGGTATCGATGATTTTGTGGTGGTGGATGAGGAAGCTGAGGCCGCCAATTGAATGTCTATAATACTTATCCCGCCCCATACCTGTACCTTACTTGCCTTTAATATGCCTCGCAGCTCGAACACGGTCATTTCTCGTAGATTTACTTACAGCATACCTTCCTAGCAAGTACATATTGTCTTACAGCTTCCCAGTACTCTCATTACTACATACTAATGTCCGATCCATGTGCGGACGGAATGGTGCCTCTAATGTAGGTACTTGTACGGAAACGTCTGCTTCAGATGTCCGATCCGCCCTGCCGACGAAGGTCCATGCGCAAGAGGTCCGATCCATTATGCTGACTGAACGAGCCCAAAATTGCCCAACCCGATCCGTTTTCGGACGCTTTGGGCCCAAAAGGCAGGTACGGAACCGCCGAAATTGGGCAGTTTCGGATCGGACATCGTGGCCTATATGCCTAGGTCCTCATTAACATGTCACAGAGATGCTGTCACAGACGGCCCTCGTTCAAGCCACAACCTCTACTTATGAAATCTTCGTCCCAGCAAGACCGGATAAAAACTCGGGGGCGCGGTTACAGACCCCGTCGATCGCCCGAATCTATGTCCTTGTCTCATGAGAACACACCCACAACGCTAGGATCATTCTTTTCGCGCTGGGCCCGCCTCAGTCGTTCCACCTGTCCACGAGAGCATTGCCCCGCTCGTATCCGTGTGACTGCAACTTCCGTCTTGAATCAATTGCCTTGCGCGCGCGAGTGGATGCCGAGGGTTGTCTTTCTATGTGAGGCGGTGGAATTGGCGCGAGGTGTTGCTGCGTGGAGAAGCTATGCAAGTGGATCTGTCAGATTCGTAGTCTCGGAGCACGGAGGATCACGAACCCAACGCACTGGAGATTGCCGGTTCCGAGCACACTGGGGGTCTCAATCTTGTCTGGGCTTGTGTGCGCAGCAAGGCTATGTGACGCTGGTGAGCCGCAGCATTCCCTTGTGAATGTATCGGATTTCATCTCACAAGCAATAGATGTACCAAAGCTGTACCTCATGCACGCCTTGCTGTTTCAGACGCCCTGATGGAAAGGGTACGTTGGCAGGGATCGACCCTACCGCCAAATCGCCAAACTAATCACTCTCACACAGTCGATGCTCTCACGCCGGAATAGCCCCTGGCGGGGCAGTGAGCAGAATCCTGACTGCGCGGCCATGGATCGGACGGGACTGTCAGTCTCATAACCGTCGATGCTGTGGATGCGTTTTCTGAAGGTTCGCGTGCAACTAATATCCGTTACCAGCTCCTAAGCACGATCACTTGACAGATTGCGCAGGGTGAAAACGATAAGGACGGCTTACTCTTTTGACCGCAGTGCGGCATATGTTCCGGAAGTCCGTCTAAATGGCCTCGTTGCTAAATGATTGGATGCAAGACTTTTCGCGGACCGACGATCCTGACCTGCACAAGTACGAACACCTCTAAAGCTGGCGTCTGCCGTCACTTTATGCCTCGCTACTTTGGGTGACATTTGGTTGCTACGTATGAAATGTGTCTGTCTCATCGTCTTGTTACAGACTTCCTCCTTATTGCCTGGGTGTCCGAATCAGCTCCCGACCTCAAGACTGCGGCGAACTGGGCACTCAGCAAGACTGGCCCAGTCCCGGAGATCTCAGTGAAAGAATTCGATGAAGAAGGATGCCCGCATCTTGCTCCAATGCTGGGGCACCACGTATGACGAACAGCCAAAGCCATGAAGATTGCTCTACTCCCTTCGGCTGTCAAATGCATCTCCCCGAGAACCACGCTGAACCCGCTCTCTGTGCTGAAACTAGTGCACTCCCTCTGGCCGCCTTTCTTTGGGTCCAGGATCAGTGCCCACGCATCGGGCGAGCGATAGCTTGACCAGCAGGGATGATGGCAGGCATCCTCTTTCCTGCCGACTGATGGATTCAATGCAGCGATGGAGGGGTTGGCCGTGATTGCGAAACGAAGAATAGGTCGTGCTACACCTAGCTCGAGCCCTCACACTCAAGTGCACAGGGCGCACAATGCTCCGTCGTCAGCTTTCGCTCAACTGACGGTGTCTGGCATCAGTGCTTGACACGCATCAATGCATGAGCCTCTCGGCGTCTTGCAGCGAGACCACTCTCAACCACTGCGCACTTCCATCACTCTCACACGGGACAGAACGCTATCATTCACCGATACACACGAGCGTAGTCATCAATCAGCCAGCGCAAGAACAATCTTTCCATCCGCGTAACAGCTTACGAATGATGTCCTCCCTCGTTTCCTGCTTCAGCTGAGGTAGCTGGACCGGCCAGAGCTTGCAGTTTCGACGCCAGCGGCATATTCATCACACAGTACCAAGCAGCGGAAGGCGAGCAGGGACATGCTGGTGTGTTCGATCGCTGTTCCCTGTGCAGCATGACTGACCAATGTCTCATCAAGGTGCCTTTCCCAGCCGCGAGTAATGAACGGCGGCTCCTGGCACTGTTCCAGATTGAGACAACTCGGGCGCTCTCTTGCTTTTGCGAAACAGATTGCATGTCGCATTCTTCTCGTTCGCGCGCCAAGCTTTACGAATGAACACGTGCTCTTCTGGAAGGCTTGTCAACACCGTCGCTTGTCGCACAACACGGATGGTACTGGGTGGCAGCTACAGTGTGATCGGTGTCCCACGGGTGTCAATGGATGGGGTTCAGGCGACTCTCAAGCGGAAACCGATCATGCCATGGACAGGGCCGGATCTGAAGAGCGGGTGGGCCATGATGCATGAGGTTTCCAAGTCGCGCTTGGTCCGCCATGCGTGTCATGAGCTGCATCTTACTCAGTGGTCTATGTCGATCGGGATCCCCATCGCTCCCATAGCAATCACTGGCAAGCTGCCGGATACAAAGAGGATAAGAAGCAGGAAACCTTCGACCGAGTCATGTCACTGTTACTTCAGGTCTCGAGCGTTTCTGTGACTCATCGTCGATCTCGCCATTGGTCGATACCGGGTGTTGGTTCTATGCCGAGATTGAAAGTGTCGGTGAGATTGCCGCCCACTCATTGGCCACGCGCCTCACGCGTTTCTGGATCCTGACATGTCGCGGCGTCTAGACACCAAAGCTGGTCCTCGCCATCCGAATCTCTGGTCGGGCTATGAAAGCGCTGCATGCAGCTCAGGGTCTCCCAGCGTGTCAGCAAAAGCATCGCGATCGTGCTTGGGACCTGTTGACGCAATTCCTGGATGCAGTATATCGAGATCTTCGTTGCACGCACCGTACGGGCGTCTCGATAGACAGGTGATTGCTCACAGAAGTTGCTGTACGAGTCGCCGCTCTCCGGTTCACATGCAATGCATACAGTCTGTTGTCAGACACGAAACCCTATCTCGCACCACAGTTTCGTGGATTTCGGACAATGCACGGCATGCTCTCGCACTCTCGTAGCCCCAGCACTCAGGAAGGACGGAGGTAGCTATTCTCCGTCCTTCTTGCGATCCACATCACACTTCTCTACCGCCAAGTTTAGCAAGCCGCAAGTAGCCAGGGTTATCAGGCACCTCTCGAGCTCGGCGGGGTTACTCAGCGTTAACCAGGACCAAACTTGAGCCGATGGCGAGGTCAAAGCGCAGACGTACTTGACCATGAGAGCGACAGTGGTCGGCTGGTCCAGAGACGTAGCTAAGACGACATGAGATACAACCAGCTGGAAGTAAAAATAAGATAGCTGCGGAGAACAGCGTGGAACGAGGACTCGTTCCGTTTCAGAGTAACAAGCGCCGGAGGTGGATAAGGAGACTTGGCTGCGGCCGTTATTGGTGCGATGGTTGTTGAATAATCCTAGTGCTCACCCTGGACCAATGGGTGCTGAAGCATTGCCCAAAGCAATGGAACATTAGCCAAATGAATAGTTCCGATAAGTTGTAAATGTCCTCATTGATATGAAAATCCCTGTCTTCGCTAAATGCCGTAGACTGTAAAATAGCGCGTGTCGTCCTCGAGGCACTTCTGTGCTTTCTGCCTTTGCCCACTGCTATACTATCTTCACGGTCTCAGAATCCTCCCATAGACTCGTTCACTCTGTCGATCGTCAGAACTGGCGAAACATATAGTTGCAAAACTACGAGTCAAACTTGAAGACACATCCAAATGGGTTCCTCCCCGTCCCGACGATCGCGTTCGCGCGCAACCACACCTGAAGGTCACATGTACTACTTTCAGCTCCCGCGTTGGCTCGCGCGACGAGTGACCGCGGCATCAGAGTCAGAAGCAGATCTAGACACGGCGGTATGTCGTCGGGGGGCACAGCATCGCGGCTGTGCTGTGATCTACTTTCACTGATATAACATCTTTTAGCTGAGACCACCAGGGACACACACACGGAATACTATACCCTCCATCGCACCTACACCTACGTCTGCACCTGCATCTGCGCAGACTCTCGCCCGGACATCCCTACCCGCTCAGCTCTCAGTCTCGATCGAGGCCAATAGTGTTCTCGAGGAACAAAGGGAAGACGACGCAGCGCACGACTACACCGATCCCGTTAAGCACCAGAACGAATTCCTGATGCCAGCGAACGCGACCGTGCCATGCCAGGTATGTGTCTCTGGCGTAAATCGACTATTGCCAGTCTGATCTTCGAACTGCTTTCTTTTCCTTACTCGTCGTCGTCCTCTCTCAAACTCATGATTCGATTGGATCGCCGACTCCTCTCATCTTCTACTTCAACTTGGGCCGATGCCTTCGCCTATTTGCAACTCACTGCTGCGCCGGATCGATGTGACTCGCGACACCGCCCATCGTGGTAATCGGCACCGCTTGCTATCGACATCACGCGCTCCTCACGCATATGCCCACACTGCCCCCCTCGCTAAATCACATCGCAACCGCAGTATCGCACTGGCAAAACGCTTGGGAGTGGGACGTACGCCATCGTGAAGGAGGCGATCCACATCACTTCGGGAAAATACTACGCATGCAAGGTCATTAACAAGAAGCTGATGGAGGGGAGGGAGTATATGGTCAGTGCGAGGCACACATGTATCCAGACGATGATAACCAACGGGCCGGAACCAGGTCCGAAACGAGATTGCGGTCCTGAAGCGGGTTTCGAGCGGAAACCCGAATATCGTGACATTGCATGACTACTTTGAGGTGTGGGCATACGTCTAGTGACTCAACATCATTACTGAGCGTCGTCCTAGACCTCGCACAACTTGTACCTCTGCTTCGATCTCTGCACAGGCGGGGAACTCTTCGACCGCATATGCGCCAAGGGCAATTACTATGAAGCGTGCGTCGATTTGGGTGCCTCCAGTCTTCGACCTGGCTTACCGCTAGCAGTGACGCGGCAGATCTGGTGCGCACTATCCTCACCGCCGTCAAATACATCCACGCGGGTGGAATCGTGCACCGGGACCTGAAGCCGGAGAATCTTTTGTTCCGCACCCCAGCTGAAGATGCGGACATAATGATTGCGGACTTTGGGCTAAGTCGCATCATGGCGGACGACAAGCTGAGCAAGCTTACGGAAGTATGCGGGACCCCGGGATATATGGCTCCAGAAATATTCTTGAAGAGTATGTGCTCCCGTAGGAATCGGCTAGCTCGTCGCTGATGCCGATTAGCCGGACATGGGAAACCGGTGGACGTTTGGGCGATGGGCGTCGTGACTTACTTCCTGCTGGCCGGCTATACGCCATTCGACCAGGACTCGCCTCAAGCCGAGATGGAGGCGATCATCCATGGCAATTACAAATTCGAGCCGGAAGAATACTGGTCGAACGTGTCTGACACGGCTCGGGACTTCGTGCGGGCGTGCCTTACGATCGATCCCGACGCGCGGCCCACTGCTGCCGAGGCTCTTGAGCACCCTTGGTTGAAGGGGAGACACTTTGTGTCGACAGCTTCAGGCGGGCCGACGGACTTGCTTCCCTACGTGAAGAAAGCATTCGACGCGAAGCGTGCTTGGAGGAAGGCGGCATTCAGCATCCGAGCGGTTAAACGCATGACGGCGCTTGCGGGTGCCACCCATCTGGACAAGGAGGCCCAAGAGCTGTCTGACAATGTCCGGCAGTACAAGGAGGAGTCAGAGAAAGAGATCATGGAGAATGCGTCCATCATGCATCACCACAACGACGACGTCGTGGAGAAGCTTGCAGAGACGAAATTGGCTTGAAGATTCACTGTACCATAACTAGTTCCATCTACTTCAATCCGAGGCTGGGAGTCTGTCCATGTCGGATGATGGCGCTTACTGGCAGCAGGCGCTTATTAGCAACAGGGACAGCTATGATGCAGTTCTCGAGACATTCTCGTAAAGGCCGCGTCTAGTGCTCTCATTCTTGCTCTTGCTGGGTTGTGATCCTTCTGGACAACGCCGAGACCTTCCATATACATGTCTCCTTCTTAGAGCCCCCACGATCTCCGGCTTTGCGTTCGGTGTTCCCTACTTGTAAAATTGTCGAACGCCTCGATCGCTGTCCTCCGCGTCCTTCAATATCTATTACGGCTCACAGTCGTCCCTCTACAGGAGCGCTGATCAATAGAAACAATCAAAAAAGTCATTTGCACCCGACGCCTCGCGTCGAGCTCAGGGGGCGGCGGGGGCCGAAAGGGGCGTCCAGCCGTCTCAGCCGATTTCCAAAATCAACAGGGGCAAATAGCTGACATAAGAGGAGAAAGAACCCTCATCTCCATCACGCCTTCGTCTTTTCCCTCCCCCTCCTCCCTCCTCCGCCGTCACTAGCCCGCCCTCAGCCGGCTACTGCTTCACCTGCCGCTCGTTTCAGGCATCTACCACCACTTACCTATCCCTATTCTCTGCTCCCGTATCAGATTCTGCAATGGGCTGCGTTCAAAGTGCTGGCGTTGATGAGGAGGCGAAGGCTCGTGAGTGTCTTGCATTCATTCGTGCTTGTGCTTTCCCCCCACTCGCTCCACCCGTTCCTCTTGAGTGCTCGAAACTCACTCACGTCCGTCTGGATCCCTCCCTCTCCTCACCTAACTGCGCGACCCCTTTCTCACCGCATCCTAGGCAACGATGAAATTGAGAACCAACTCAAGCGGGACCGGATGCTCGCCAAGAACGAAATCAAGATGCTTCTCCTCGGTGCTGGAGAGTCCGGCAAATCGACGGTGCTGAAACAGATGAAGCTTATCTATTATGATGGCTACAACGCGCAAGAGCGTGATGCGTACAAGGAGATCATTTTCTCCAACACGATTCAGAGCATGCGGTGCGCCGTGGTCGCTTCTCACCTTGGGGGGCAAAGTATCTGACAGGCGTCATGTAGCGCCATCCTCGAGGCCATGCCCCAGCTGGACATTTCGCTTGCCCCCCAGAACGATGCTCGCCGTGCCACCATTCTTGCCCTGCCGCCTCAAATTGAGGCTGACTCCCTTCCGCGAGATCTGGCGGATGCGATTCGGGGGTTATGGCGCGGTACGTCCCGTTGCCTTGAGAGCGTGACTAATCTTAATAATCATCTATCACGTCTAGACCCAGGCGTGAAGGAGGCGGTTCGACGATCCCGGGAGTTCCAGCTGAACGACAGCGCTGTGTATTACTTCAACGCTATCGACCGGATGTCGACGCCGGACTACCTGCCCACTGACCAGGACATCCTCCGTTCCCGTGTCAAGACGACGGGTATCACTGAGACTACCTTCAAGGTATTGATGGCAGTTTTTGACTTTTTGAATGGAAGCCTAAGTGCTTCGCATCTAGGTCGGCGAGTTGACGTACAGGTTGTTCGACGTTGGTGGACAGCGTTCCGAGCGGAAGAAGTGGATACATTGCTTCGAGAACGTGACGGCGCTGGTGTTCTTGGTATCCCTGAGCGAGTACGACCAGATGCTCTATGAGGATGAGAGTGTCGTACGTGTTTCTTCCTTTCGCTTCCTGGCTTGCTACAATCTAACTCCGTGCTAGAACCGTATGCAAGAAGCGTTAACGCTGTTTGACTCCATCTGCAACTCAAGATGGTTTGTGAAGACTAGCATCATCTTGTTCCTGAACAAGATCGATCTCTTCGCCGAAAAGCTGCCGCGCAGTCCTCTGGTGAGCCGTTGTGCCAGTATGTGCCGTGGGTAACGTGTCTGACGTGTAGCGTGCAGGGCGACTACTTCCCCGACTACCAAGGTGGCGACAACTACGATGCCGCATGTGAATACCTCCTGCACCGATTCGTGTCGCTCAACCAGAGCGCCGCAACGAAGCAGATCTATGCCCATTATACCTGTGCGACAGATACACAGCAGATCAAGTGTATGTGTCTGGTGTCATGTCCTGAGATTGACTGGTGACTGATTGCTTGTCTAGTTGTGTTGAGTGCGATCCAGGACATTCTGCTGCAGCTCCACCTGCGGGAGTGCGGACTGCTATAGAATGGTTCTGTTTCTGTTACTTACCCCTACATACGTATAATTGCTCGACACTTTCTACGACCTCCGGATCTCTTCCTTGTTCTTTTGCATTACTACTTGTTGCCATGCGCCTTTCATACATATTGGATCCCTTGGGGTGGATGGCCTGTCTCTTTCGTGTGTTTATATTATGATTACATTACGTTGTCTCTCCTCTTTCTGTTGAGAATACATTCCTTTGACGCATCTCTGTACATATGGGTTTGGGTCATGAAACATTGCGGGCAGATGGATGTCCCTGACGACGCCGCACATTTCCATGCTGGGGCCATTACACATGCGACTTGGCGGCGGGGATTGTCGGCTTTTCTAGTGTCAGGCGTGGGGACAGTGTGAACGTTTGATGCACCGCACGACAATAGTTCGTAGGATCCGTTAACGATCAAGGGGATGGATGCTATAATGTCGTTCAGTCCCGGCAAGGGATGGATGATCATGACGGCCCGATATGCACTGCGTGCCGAAGAGCGATGACTTTGTAAACGGGGATGAGCACGAGGGTGATGTTGTTGATGAGAAACACTTCGATCGAAGGACGAAGAAAGCAGCCTGACTGGTATCGGCTCCCTCTTCCGAGAACGGCGGTCATGTGGGATTGTGCAGAATTCCAGCGAGCGATGGCGTGTCGGGTGGTATCACCCCTGCGTGGATCCGGCTGACGGTGGACAGTAAGAATCGCAGGGACATATGTGGCAACGGAATGCGTAATCCCATGGTGAGGGAAGACTGGGACGGGATATTTCGTTCCGAGTCTCGAACGGCGAAAGCGGAGAGAAGATCGACTTGACATCAACTAGCTGAGGAGGCAGCGCAGGATATGATTGGGTTCTGCGGCGGGTCATTGGTGTTGTCCCCAGTCGGCTCGTCCTGACTTTTGCCGTGTTCTGAAGAGCAGGGGATACATGCATCATCGGGAAGAGTCGGGGTATCCCGTGTCTAGAAATAACATAAGAGTAGTCAGTCGGTCACAAGGCCACCGAACAACGAAGTGGATTCGTAAAAACGTTGAGTAAAGTGTGCTTGAGAGTCTGACCAATCTGCCCGATGTCTGATCTCATCTTATCTGATTTCCCTGCGATTACGCTTTTCTTCCTATCCACGATGACCTCGCCGAACCTCATCCCGATCGCATCCCCAGCACAATTCCAAGAGGCGTTGTCCGCAGATCTTGCTCGTGTATCGCTGATCTTCTTCTGGGCACCATGGGCTGCCCCTTGCGAGCAGATCAGACCCGTCGTTACCTCCCTGGCGGCCAAGTACCCCACGTTGCTCGTGCTGGAAGTCGAGGCCGAGGAACAGGCGGACATCGCCGAGTCGTTTGAAATCGAAGCAGTACCTGCGTTCGTCGTTCTTCGCGGGCACACGCTTCTTGGGCGGATCAGCGGGGCGGATGGGGCGGCGCTGACAAAGGCGATAGCGACGCATCTCGATCCGGCGTCGGTGACCGCAGACGACGGCGCAGAGAAGAAGAAGGAGGAGTCCAAGGAAGAGCTGGATGTGCGTCTGCGAGCGTTGATGACGCAGAGCCGTGTGGTGCTGTTCATGAAGGGCACCCCGGACGACCCCCGGTGCGGGTTTAGCCGCAAGATCTCTGCCCTCCTCCGGGATCAAGGTGTCGAGTTTGCGCATTTCGACATCCTGAGTGACGACGGGGTGCGACAAGGTGAGTGGGTTGTCGTTATCGCTGTGCTTGTCTCTGGGCTGGACCTAAGCGTGGCATGCAGGCCTCAAACGCCTCAACGACTGGCCGACATTCCCTCAGCTTATCGTGGCCGGGGAACTTGTGGGCGGGCTCGATATTGTCCAAGAAATGGTAGAGACGGGCGAATTTGCGTCAGTGGTCAAGGGCGAGTGAGGATCGGAGAGGTGGTGCTCATAACTTTTGGCTCAAGTTTTTTTTTCGACTATGTCCCTCCAGCTTTCGTGCAAAATACATCTCTTCTCACACAAGCAGACATTTCGATAGCTCAAAAACGATATGCGTTGCAGAACCAGATGGGTGCTGCTTTGGGCATACACCCGCACAGTCCTGATGCGCCAAGACGGTAGATCGCACACGTGGAAGTCTACACTGCGCACTTCTATCGAACAACACTCATCAGCTTGTGAGTGACTCCCCATGAGCCTTGAATCTTGCGTGACGACTTGGCTCCACCATTCATTGCCAATGTGCTTTTCGGATACAGTAGGACTTGCGGGTACAATAGGACTGGCTGAACCGAACGGAGCTCTGTAGCAGTGAAGTATGAGTCGAGTCACACATTCCGATTCCTTCAGAATGTTCGCGGCGTGAGAGAGACGTGAAGGAAAGAATCAGTCAGCCAGATCGTCCCCAAGCTACCAAGCCCGCCTGGCCATGCATTGACTCAGACCCCTGGATTCACCCGCGACCAAGAAGACTTCATTAGATGCAAGCTTTCACGACACTATTTAGTGTGCTGCATTCGGTCCTCGACTTCCAAGCTGTGAGATTCCTCGGTCTCAGTCGCATGTGGGGGTACTTCCTGACAATGCCGCACACGAGTTACTGAGGAAAATCGGCGCGGCCAAATTAGAGGACTAGCGGAGCATCTTGCTGAGAAGAAAGCATGAAGTGTGAACGAGAACGAGGCCAATCGAAGCCTGGAAATGTGTGGCTCGCTGAAGGAACAGCTGAAGGAACAGGAAAGGCCAGTTGTTTGTGTCCGTCCCGTCCGAGGCTGTGATCCGATCAACCGAAACACTCCTCGTCATATCAGTTGATTTTCATCCGAATTGAACGTCGCCCTCCATATTCGACGGCATTCAAATTTTCAGCCATCTCATTCCAAACCACCCGAAACAAATCATGAAACTCGACTCCATCCGTCTACGAGGTCATGACTGTCCTACTCATAGGGGCTCTTGCCAGATGGACATCGAAGAGGTTTGGAGTATTGATCAGGACTCAGAGCTAGTGTTTAGGATATCTTCATGGCCAGGGGACTCTCAGAGACGAATAGAAACATTTCTGGAGCTCGAGAGGTCGAAATGCCAGTAGCTTTAGTCTGTCAAGGGTCTTTCCAGTATGAACCGCTAAATGTGTTTACTCGTGCGGAAAACCGAGGAGGTGGAGTCGCAGAGTACACGAGTAGTAGAAAAGGCGGCTGTTGAAGATTTTCCGGACAGGTCATGCAAAGAGCTGCTTGCTTCATGAGAGGAATTCGAAAAGGCGCGCTTGGCGAGCATTTTCGAGCTCTCACGCCCAATACCAGACAGCAGTGTAAGGATTCAGGGACACAATTGCAGGAGAGGGACAGAGACATCTTTGACTTTCTTGCGGAAGTAGGTTTTCCGAACGTGGTGCCTTCAATGCTAATGATCTACGGCGCAGAAAAGCACTACGGATGATGTCAGTCGCAAACACTCCCTCGTCTCAATACGTTCTGAAAAGGAACCTTATACATACTTCGTAAGTTCATTTGGCCGGGACTGACAGCTGATGTGAACACCACTCAGAAGGCCGGTGCTGTTTGATTCTGTATACATTGCTACGCAGAGGTCGACATGTTCCCAGCGCTGCGGGGAGCAGGCTACGTCCAATGAGCAACTAAAAGATGCTCGAAGCCCTTTTTGCAGATGCTCTGATGACATATCGACTTTTTGCGGACGGCGACCGCATATCCCACCAGATACAAGGAGCTCAAATGGGACAACAGAGCGATCCTCGAGAAGAGATGCGGCTGCTTACGCAGATAAATTCAACTCGTCGTATTCACGGTCGCTTCCCAGATCTCAGGGTTACTGAATTTCTCACCATGAAAAAAAGATCTACCAGTCTCAAGGTGAGTTTTTGAGTGCATCTACTCAACCTTTCGGTAGCTGATTGACAAATAATTCCTCGTTACAGTATCGTAGACAAGATGCTCTCTTTTTACGAACGCGATCATGAAAGTGGTTTCGAACATCCTCGACTAGATACCAGTTGTAATAAGCTATGATGCAGACCATGTGGCTTCTCCCATGACTCCCTGTTTCGAAAGTGAGCCTGCAAGAAATTTGGTTCCTTGGAGTCCGTGAACGCAAGGCCATTTACCAGAGCTCTTTCGGGGTCATGAATTCACGAAAATTTAGTCAAGAACATCATACGCTTATGGTTTCGAATGTGTGCCCTTCTTAAAATGTCGCTTCCCGCCCGATGGCGCGCGATGGCGACCTGAGAGACTTTGGATTAATGCCACGGGAGCCGATAGGTATCAGTTGACGATATTGACCGGGAGGCTCTACCAATGTATGCAAAGAAGAGGACATGGGAATCATATTCATTATATCACGTATCGGCGAAATTTTATCTCAAACTATACGTCCCTGCTTCACTTTCACAGAATGGGGGAAACACCCGACAAGATATCCTGTGGCGTTCTGTGACGGTCTCGTATGAACTGGTACGATTTGATTCAAGATCAGTTGTATCTATAACACTCGTAGACAGTCACAGGTACAGCCACGTAGTAGTTGCCCCGTCAGCGACGATAATGAAGCGGATGTCAGACGCGTGGCGTCATAGCAATGCTCAATCACATGACACGGATCACTTCATCGGCACCGTCAGCAAGTACTGACTCCGCCCGCCGGAGATGGCTTACTCATCAAAACTGCCTTACTCATCACGCCGCTTAAAAAAGCCGTCCACAGACCGATCCCCTACTTTCACCTCCCCGAAATGTGAGTTTGCCCTGCAATCTTGTTTCATCCCGCCTTCCCCGACGATCCGTCCTGCTACTCCAATCGAGCATATCAGGCGTTGCGTCGCGGGCAATTTTGCGCTCGAGGGGCCTTTTTCATCCCTTGTGCTGTGCTGACAAAACTTTCTCTTCTCAGAAACTATCATGGGTCGCCGTCCCGCTCGCTGCTACCGCTACTGCAAGAACAAGCCGTACCCCAAGAGTCGGTACAACCGTGGTGTCCCCGATCCCAAGGTGGGTGTCTCTTCAGCCCTTCCCTTGCGAATTCTAAATCCTTTGTGCTCGCAGATTCGTATCTTCGATCTTGGACGCAAGCGTGCCTCTGTCGACGAGTTCCCCTTCTGCTGCCATCTTGTCTCTGATGAGTACGAGCAATTGAGTTCGGAGGCTCTCGAAGCCGCTCGTATTTGCGCCAACAAGGTACGCTGGCCTCGGTCTCACCCACCTTTGTTGACTCAATTCTGGGCCCTCTAGTACGTGACCAAGACGTCCGGCAAAGACTCTTTCCACCTGCGTGTCCGTGTCCACCCCTTCCACGTCATCCGAATCAACAAGATGTTGTCTTGCGCCGGTGCCGATCGGCTGCAACAGGGCATGCGTGGTGCCTGGGGAAAGCCCTACGGCAGTGTCGCACGAGTGAACATTGGCCAGGTCCTCCTCTCCATCCGGTGTAAGGAGGCCAACGCGCCCATCGTCATGGAGGCGCTGCGCCGTGCCCGGTACAAGTTCCCCGGCCGCCAAAAGATCATCGTCTCCAAGAAGTGGGGATTCACGAATGTCAACAAGGCGGACTACATTAAGCTGAAGGAGGAGAAGAAGGTGTTGCAGTATGTGGCCATTCTTTCATTCGCACGGGGTAATGCGCTGACACCTCATGTAGGGATGGTGCCTACGTACAGTTCATCAGGCCCAAGGGCCCTCTCGAGACCAACTTGCGCAACCAGCTCCGTGCATGATTGTATCAGTAGTCCTATGATGTTCACCGTGCTCGTTCTGTTTCCTGTGTGATTTAAGGTTCTTCTCGTTCTCTCTTCTTTCCCTTTTCATTCTCACTCTCATAACCGCCCTCTTATTCACTACTCCACCTCGATCAATGGGTGGTGCGAGGGGAACGGGGGCGAATATCTATCTTGCATTCAAATCCGGAGATCTTAACTACTACTTGTCTCCTTGTTCGCGGGTTTGCTGTCCAGCTAGTGCGCGGCGGTTTTGTCTACATACATATCCAGTTTCGAATCGTATTCTCGCTTTCTAAGTTTAAATTTGCCCACGGCGAGAGACACGAGAATGATACTCTTCAAGAACCCAAACCCAAACCCGGACGAAATCTACGTATCATCGGCATTGGGTCAAGGCAGAACACGATCGCCGTCCTTCTCACATGGACATTGAAACGGATTCTCTGCGCGCTGGGTATATCCGTCATGATTGGAAATCACAAGAATCTATCTGATTGCGGAATCCACGGCCCGTCGCTTCTCTGGCTCAGCTGGTTAGAGCGCCAGTCTCACATTCATCTATGTGTGACGCTTGTCATTAAATCTGGAGGTCAACAGTTCGATCCTGTTGAGGAGCATCGGCTCTCCGCGTGTAGAGCTTCGCTAGCGGACGATTCATTTTGTTATCTTCACGTAATCACCTTAGTCGTGTAGACCTCCATATGCATAGCTACCGCGTGCTACACCTCTAGAAGCTGCGCAAGCCTTGATCACATGAACAGCAGAGACCAGTTTTGCTCGTAACCCTGCAGCGTACGAACATGCAAGGTGCACTATGGACACTCACTGCATCATGCGCACACTTATCGTGAGGTCAATGCTCTGAATCAACTGCTCCGTCAAGTAAGAACGTAGGTACTGGACATGGGTGTCGATTGCCCTATGCGGAGATGTCCATTCGAGGAGAATGCTAAGATACGCCTCCATGACGAATCTAAACTCTCCGACTTTTGCATTTCCTTTCAAGATACTCCCTGCGGAAGACAACTATCATAAATCTGAGCGTTTTTCGACGAAGATGGCAGACCTACCGCTGACTGACATCCTCCTTCCTTTGATTCGGTTTCTTCCGTGCACGACGAGGCCGAGCCTCTAGCTGAGGTCTGGGACGGATGTCAGAGTAGACTATAGGGCATAACGCGAGCACTCACGAGCATTTCTCAACTGGGGATGGCTCGGTCATCGTTGGCGTCAATTCAGTCGGAGAGTTGATCTCGCTGGGAGATTGCGCCAGAGGAATGTCGTCGTCCACTTCGATCAAGAGCGGCCTTGAGAGAGGAGAGGGCTTCCGATTCCACACGCTGGAGTTGGTCGGTTAGTCTGACTTCACAGTCAAACATTCGCGACACACTAGTTCTCGATGCCGTTGTACCGGAAGAACCTAGTTGGTACATTGGGAAGACGTGCAGTTATGCGATGGTGCTTCAGGTACTTCAGATGAGTGCGGCGGATACCCCAGACGGCGGGTTGGTTCCCGTGGCCCGGAGCCTTTAGAGCCAGGAGGTCCCGGCGCAATTCCTTTAGTGTCTTGGTTCGATCTTCACGCAATGTGTCAGGCGATACAGCTTCCACGAGCATGTCGGCACGTACTGTTCTTCGTCCTCACAACTGGGCGCGCTGCGAGGAAGGATGTTCAGAACAAGATCGAAAGAAGATCAGACGCGCACCTTGTCTCACTGGGACGAGCACACGCGCATCCCTTTTCTTGCGTAAAACCAACCGGTACATGGATCCGTGTGGCTCGAACGACGCCTCCCACGATGACTGACGCATGCTGTAAAGCTCAATGAACGAATGAGCCAGCTCCGACGATGGTAGGAAGTCGAATTCGGTTGGGATGATCTGTATACGTCGCGAGATACTCTTTAACAGACTGTTCTGCAGTTTCTTGGGCGGTGCCGTCCGGACTTTGTAGCAACTTTCGATCAAAGGCTGCCGCGGCTGGGTACCGAAGGCCAGTGGAACTTCAAAGGAATGTCAGCGCATCGCAGTAGGTGTTGCACAGAGCTTTACTTACCGGAAGACATGTGTATGACTTGGGCGGTGGTGAGATGCAGAGGCAAAGGACACGCCTAACCCCGACAATGCGAGCGCGGGCGTATCCACTGGAGTCACGTTACAGCACCGGATGTGCGCAATCAAGCCTGGAAAACCATTGTCCTCCCGATATAGGCTGATGGGTGCATGATCCAAGGCTCTTGTTTTCGCTATCAGCGACGAGCGAAGATATGTGAGCTTCAAGGACTGCGCGCACCGTAGAGACTCAAGTTTAACCATGACCTGTTGGTTGGCACAGAGGTCTTCGCCGCGAGTTCATGAAGCACTTTCATCCAGAGCTATCTCGATGCAGCACTGCATGATTGGGCCTTGGCAGCCTTCCCGTTGGTACCTCTCCATCCCGTTCGATTCCGTAGCGAACAGAGATGCTAGCACATCCCCAGATCTCAGTAGGGAATCTGCTCCGTGGGCGACACAGGAGAGTAGTCCGATGATTCCCCAGGGTCCGAGCGACACACCAACAGTCGAAAGCGATAACGAGACCACCCGCCATCCCGCATTCCGACTATTTGACCGCGGTTCCCTTCCAGTACGAGGTGTCGAGTCTTAGGCAATGAGTGTGCACCAAACAGCCCATCGCTATTTCGTCTGGCATCACTGGGGGGAGTTCAAGAGCGATACCGAGAGCAATTATGCGCGCGAACACATGCCAGCTGAAAGACTTGGGAAGCCATCATGACGCCAACGACGCTGTTAGGTTGTTCCAATTCGAATTTGGTCGACAGTCCAAGGGCGCGGCCAACATGCAGTATTTTGGCGACAGGAGCACGCAGGATTCAGTGAGATTTGAAGTCAGACGCGATTAGACTCAAGACCAGACAAGTGGGAGCGGCCCGTCTGAGTGCCGTTTCACCTCCGAGTCAGTGTTTAGTGGTAGAATGACCGTAACCCAGCGTATCCCCTGATGTGTGACGTTACTCCCTTCCTCACGCAGGATATGGCAATCCAGCCTATGAACAGAAAGGAATCCAAGGATGAGCTCATCTGCCCTCAATTCTGTCTCGCTGATTCAAACTAGACTCTCTGACCGTTGACAGTGCTTCTGAGAAAAAGGACAAATAGACACTTCACGGCATATGAAAAAATCATGATACAGTTGCACCGAAACTGCCCATCGGTTCGATGGTGTAGTTGGTTATCACGTCCGTCTCACATTCGGATTCCCGCAGTTGAGGACTGTGTTTCACGGGAGGTCTCCGGTTCGAGCCCGGGTCGAATCAGTTTTTTCTGCTCGCACCATCCGAGATACTTTCATTTCGGCTGTCCCTATCCTAAACTTGGACAACGTAATTCACTGTTCCCTGCGCGATTCCATTTCGACGACAGCGAGAGCATGAAAGTGCGCGTTTTCAGGATCCAGATGATTCTTCACTATCTCCTTCACGACACGCGTTCCACCAATCAATATATCTCGCTCCCCATCCAGCCATTCATCGTGATCCACTGGCCCGTTTTTGCCGCCGTCCATCTCATAAATGTGGCCATCCAGTTGCGAAGGGATAAACGCAGCGTAGTGCCCGGGAACGACATCGTCGGCATGCAACACTTGACTGGTACCGAGGGGCGCACAGTCGTTGTACAGCGCTGCGATGGGTGAGAAGGACTCGAGGAACGAAGCCCGGTCGGGAGGCGACATGGGGAGCGCAGAGGCGATGAACTTTCCCATGGGCGAATCTGGGTCTTATACCAGTGGTCAGCCAGCAATGACCTGTGTGCGGACACTCCACCAGAAGGACGAGAAGTCACGAACGAACCTATATACGGCGAATCTACACCCAATCGACTCAAGTTTGAAACGATGTGCATCAGTGCGAAGAACCCGCATGCGTGGGGGACGATCTGCTCGACCCACAACATCGGCTCGTCGGACCCTCGACCAGCATACCCTCGCCCCGCATCTCGCGCTTTCTCCCGCTCGTAGTCGATCGAGGATTCGTACGCGGGGTTGGTATTGTACACCAGAATGATTCCGCGCAACTTGCCTGGCAGAGCCAAGGGACCGCCAGGAACGAGATCGTCTGGGTCAAGGGAGAGCAGATCGACGCAGGTCAGCAGGTGGGATCGCACCCCGCAGAGAGCGTGCATCAGGTCTGTGAAGATAGTCGGATCTGACTCAAGGGGGATGCCGCAGAATTGTGCTGGAGAGTTTTCGGAAAAGGACATGGTGGTAGTAGACACGAGCGAACGCGCTGAGACGCGTCATATGCTTTGATCGCATAATCATCCATGTCTGAATTTCCGCTAAATCTGCTCTTGAAGGAAGGATGGGAACTTCATTTATTTCTGTGAGTCTTGATACAAAGCAGGAGTCATAGAGTGGGAAGGGAACAGTCGTGGTAGTCAATACGAGAAAATCAATCATATGACACGGGCGGGCGAGGTAACAAGTTTATGTACAGAGACTAGCAAGAAAGAGTTCTAAGCTGCATATATCGAGAAGCGGGCAAGAGAACTAAACACACCTGAGTAAGATGTCGACAATCCAGCGCGTCAGGGGACGATTGTGGCTGAACTGGGCACTAGTGTTGTCTGCAACACTCATGACCGGACGGAGTCAACCAGTCTGGCGCCAGCGCCCTCGTACCACTCAACAACGACATCGGTGATCTGGTAGTCAGCGAGGATCTTGAGGATGTCTGGTGTGGCATCACGAACGGCCCCTGCGGTGGTGGTGTTGGGATGAACTGCGATCCACACTACAACAGGACCAAGGGTTTCACCCTCGCTATCCTCGATCGAGAAGCGAACCTTATGGATCGCAGACCACCGGAGGTGATGCTCCTTCAATGATTGTATAATCCGAGGAAGAGCGACATCCCACACGCCATTGAGAGGCGTGTTGAAGACGCCATGGGCAGTTTTAGTGGGGATCGTAAAGAAGTGGCTTCCAGGTTGGTGAGTGGGGAAGGGGTTGGTCTCGAAATCAGAGCGCCACATGAGATGGGGAGGATCCCCAGAGAGACCGTGGTAATAAAAGCGCATTTCGAATTTGGAGATTAGGTCGGGGGCAACGATGGCGTGAGGATCTGAGCCGTCAATAAGCTCTGAGTGAATCTCGGCATTGGTGAGGGTGCCAGAGGGAGGAGGGATGGAGGGCTCAGCAGCCTCGTGTCTGCGTCTGACCAAGTCGACCATGAAACAGGTGACACCTGTAAATTGAGGAAGGGGTCAGTAAGTGGGAAATGAAATGTGCGCAAAAGAAGATGGAGGGACTTACTGCCTAGATTTGTGGGATCAGCCTTCACCTGCTCGACTATGTCTTTGACCTCTGGAGCAACGTCTACAATTCCGAAGGGCCATACATAATGAGTGAGGGATGGGTATGTATAATGACAAAAGGACTTGCTTTCGCCCATGAACCCGAGGTTGACAAGCTCCTCGTCACTGAGGTCGACGATCTCTGCAAGAAACAGTGGATTCGACACTCGTTAAGGGGAACAAGGGTCACAACTCACTCTTCTCTTCATACTCAGGATTCATATCGGGGAAAACCGTTTCACGAGAGATGGCAATTGGAGAGAGTAAGTAAGTAGTTCTTCGATGATGAATGAGTCGAGAGAGAGACAGGGATACACGACAAGAGGATCTTAGGGGATCTCGCCGAGTTTGTCACGGCCATAGCAAATCCGGATCACCCGCGGGCAGACACTCAGGGGTCTTGACCAGGATCGACTTCTCGCTGATTTTGCTATTTAGCCATTCCAGAATGTGTTCCCCGCCCACTCAAACAAAGATCAGATTTTCCATACAGGTGAATCAAGACAAACACTGGAATAGACGACCTCGTGGAAGACATCGTGGACTATTCGACATCTTGCCATGGCCGCTCTACATCTTCATCAGCATCGTCCGCGTTCACGCCAGCGACAGTCATGTCTTCCATCCTCTTCGTAAACTGAGTCATATCGAACAGAGCGGCCTCGCGGACAGCCTGGTCGTAGCCCCCGGCCTCGTCAACCGGCTGGTCTGGATTCCAAGAGATATCTGGACCAGTCCATCCCCCATTGCCGTGCACGTAGTTCAGGAAAGTCCGCCAAAGTGGGTCAAGGCCCAGCACATCAGGGTCTCCGATGACGATGAGCAGCGCTTGGGCTCGTGTGACAGCAACTAGTGGCTGGTCAGGGCACGTCATCAGAAAAGATCCCACACACCATTGAATCGACGGGGATTGGCCACAAAGCCCAGTGTGTGACGCAAGTCGTACTCGACAAACTCGCGGCTGCTCCGGACAGTCGAGACAATGATCACCTGGCGCTCCTGGCCCTGGAACTCCTCAACACTGCCGACTTTGACCCCGTCTGCGAATGCACGCAGCACCGCGCGGATCTTGAGGCACTGAGCATGGTATGGTGTGATCACACCGATGTCGTTGTCAGCTGGAACATCTCAGTCTCTCGCCAGGTCACGAAGGGCGGCAGCAACGTACTGATCCGCACGCGGCGGTCATCCCGGAGCATCGCCACGTAGCTCTTGACCTGGCTGACCTCATCGACGTTGAAGAACGACGGCGAAGAGGCTTCCCGATCATCCTTTCCCCTGATCGCGTGGAAGATCACCGGAAACTGACCATTGGGCAGCGGCCCCCAGTTCACATACGCGTTGACCACCGACGGGCTACCGCACGCCTCCAGTTCCCCTTGATAGAAGCGTTCATTCGGAAACTTGAGGATCGACGGGTGCGAGCGAAAGTTCTTCGTAAGCTTGACGACGCTGGGAAGGGGGTCCTCCATCGCAGGCCAAAACCAAGGAACACATCACTCACGACTTGCCGTAACCTCTGACCTGATCGTATATCTCCATAGCCATCAGCCGCTCGATGAAGCTCTTCTCCAGACCAAGCTCTCTCGCAATCGCAGACCGGATGATCGGCCCCAGTTGCTTCGGATCCCCAGAGAGAACCACATTGGTCTGCTTGTCGGCCATAGTTTTGATCGCTAGAGTAGATGTAAGATGCTGACTAGTAGCGACAACCGAGTATACGCACCGATCATAACTTCAGGTTCGGTAGCCTGGCCCGCTTCATCGCAGAAGATGTGTGAGTAATGGCCTCTTGGGATGCCGATCCCTGAAACGACAGACGCAGAGACACAGGTCGTCACCACCACCCTGTACGTCTTCATCTTCGCCAGCCCCGGAACAGCAAAGTGTCCGTTCGCGGTGGCGAAGGTGAACGCGCGTAGCTCTAGAGGGACCGTTTCTTTGTGACGTGACGGGGCGTAGAACCGAAACAGCTGCTCCGCCCCCAGTGACATGAGACGCGTTGTGATGAGGTCTGCGGCAGAGTTGCTGGGCGCAATCGCCAGCACGCGAGCTTGAGGGTTCGCAGACAAGATCTGGAAAACGGATTCGACCATGGTGACCGTTTTCCCCGTTCCGGGTCTGCTGAGTGCTCAGCTAGACGGCGGCATCCGGATACAAACACTCACGGCCCAAAGATGACGAATGGGACGGACCCAGGCGCCCGCTCGACTATGGACACAACGGCCTGCAGCTGAGGAGGATTGTGTGCGATCAGCGGATTCTTGACTTGGATGCGCTTAGAAGGGACTAGTCCAGCAGGCATGTGCGTTTGTTCAGGGAACAGCACACGGTCCTCGTCGAAGGCCGTATCGAGGGCCAGATGCTGACGTCGAACAGGGTGCCGGTTCAGTTTGAAGCGCACCGTAAAACGCGCTAGGGGAGAAGCCTTGCCAAACGACGAATGGAACCGCAATCCGACTTCTTCCTTCCGCACGACGTGCACGCCACCTTCAAACCAGTGGCCAGCCGCAGCACCTGTTTGCTGCACAAGGATTCGGTCGCCTAGGGGATGGATCAGAAGAGGAGATGAAAGGGGGAACGTGCTGACCGACGAGAACACTGGGGCGCTTCTCCGCCAGTCCTGGGACTGAGACGCTGGGAGATTGTTGTTAAAGTTTGTGGGAAATCGGTTGGCAATACTCACTAGTGATAGGGATGGTGCACCGTCAACTTGGCCTCTGTGATATCGTAATACTGAAGATCGCGCCTGGGTTATGATCAGTCACTGCCCTGGATCCTGGCCGACGCACTCACTCCATCTGGTGCTCCTCTATCCAAATGAGATGCTTGAAGTGCCGCGGATACGCGTCACTATTCAGGACCGGCGGCAGAAACACAGTCCGCATGTTTTGGACGATGCTGCTTGCTGTTCCAGTTGCTAAAGCTGCAGACAAGGCTTTGGGGATCGGCGACTCGGGAAGCACGACAACGTAGCGAATCACGCGCAGCGAGGGAGGTGCGACGCCCTCGACAACGTTCGTCTCAGGCTGCCGGGCAGTTCGTTTGCGCGGAACGTACGGTGCACTGGGTCGCAGGTTTTCGTGATCATCGCGGTCCCCAACAATCACAGCCAATGTGCGCATTATCACAAATCGGCGTCCGAGCTGCCGATCTTCGAATTCCAACTCCAGTCGATCTTGGGCACGGCCGTTATGGGACTGACACATGCTGACTGTGAAGTTCAGCGTCTGTTTGTAGCATATTGAACGATGAGCAGTCGCAAGGTCGAGTGTGAATCTAGATAGAAGTCACAACTAGACGGGACACCGAGCAACAAGTCACTCACGGCGTCGACATCCGAACTCCCCTCGAAGAGGCGAACGTCGCATTGACAATGCTCACAATCGAATAGGGCGTGGTGTTCGTGATGGTCGCGTTCATTCTTACCCCAGCACCCGCCAGGGAGGGCTCGACTATCCCGAAGTCAAAGGCCCCACTGACCGACACCCCGTTCTTGTCTTTCTCGGCTTCATCCAAGGCCGTACGGAACGACAGAAACTGCGTCTTCGCCAGGTGCTTCGGCATCAGGTGGTGCCGCGCCCAAGACTTGTCTGGGATCTGCGAGTTGCACGTCGTGCAGAGTGTGTGTCCTGGCATCTCTCCGCCCTCTTCTGCTTCAAGGTGCCTCCCACCCGCTTTTTTGATGTGTCGCGCGCCGCGGACATGAACAGCCCAGTTCTTGGTGCCGGAGATGTGCTTGTCGCATCCAGAACAATACAGCGTCGACCCAAACTCGCCGCACAGACGGTTCTGGTGCTGCTTCGTCGCGACGTGTTCAGTGTACTGCGGTGCGGTGGGAAAGATGAGATTGCACAGGTCGCAGCTGGGCGGATTGTGCGCGAAAGTGCAGAAGCGCTCTGTGCAGAGGGAGCCTGCAAGGACCTGTGGGCAGATTGTGGAGCCGGACATTGGTGAGTGGTAACAAGGGGCGAGAGAAGTCGAGTCGCGGCCTTTGTACTTCAAGCATCCGTGCGGCGTGTTTACGTTATTTCAGAATGCTCTTTGCGCGTCAAGGGAGAACAAAGAACATGAATGCCGCGCCTGGAGCAACCATTCTGCGCCTCGAGGCTGGCGCCACTGTACATGATCGGGACAACAAGGTTGGTTGCCCTGTTATCTGAACGGAAATGACCGTTTTAATGAAAGGTGGGCGTCTATGGCACCGCCACCGCCTCCGAATCACGTTGTTCGGGCTCAAGCGCTGAAGCCTCGGACACGGGCAGCCGCGTTAGGCCTCGTGCTTACAGAATCTCAGACCTCAGATAGGTCCCCTTTCACACTTTATAGCGATTTCACCCTCGATTCCAAGTACTCAGAGCCGCCTGCTATAGAAGATCCGAGCACGAAAATTCAATGCTCCGCTTAGGTTTCATGAGTCTAGACAGCGGTGAGAGCTACAGTTATACAGAAGTCCGGGACAAGATCTCGAGAATTAGGACTGCAATATACACGATGCATGGGAAACCGAAAGGAGAAAACCGTAGTACTTCTACTCGGAGGGCCCAGCTGTCCCTCAGCAAGAGCTCAATCTCCTCCTCTTCATCGGCCGCTCCGACACGATGTCATGCGACTCAGAGGATTGTACAGCATCCCTACAAAGAGGCGCCATCGTTAGCTCCCAGGACCGTAGATGGCAATAGAGCATTGGCGTACTGTGGATTGAAGACGCTATCATACAACCGCTTCAGAACTCTGGTAAACTGCCAAACTTGCGGCTTCAGTGAACCAGAGGCAGTCACTGCTCTAGAACCGTCAATACGTGGGTAAAGGGAACAGCGGGGGTGAAATGGGGGGTGACGCACTCGGCAGCGGGGTCTAGGTTGCCCACGAGCGGCGAGACACAGATTGTGTCCTCTGCGTAAAGCACGTTGGAAAGACCCGACGGCCTGTGTTTCCACACACTGCACGCGGGTAAGTAAGGCAGGAGAACTCGACGATAAGCGTCAAAGACGTACTACGCCTGGACTTCTGCATGCTGAAACGAGCCTGGGGGCCCAACTTTCAAGGGGCGAATGCGCTGGTGGAGATCGGTATCCAGCAGGTGTTTGCGTCGAGCGCCGTCGACTGCAGGCCGCGAGTTGGCGGCGAGATCGAGGAGGGCTTGTCGGGACTGAGCTAGGGCCAGCGCTGGGGCGACCTTCGATGTAGCAGTCGATCCGGCAGTCGGGACGGCCACCGGGAGGACTACACAGAAAGATGAGGGCGCATTCTCCGCGCGCATTCGGCCTACGCACCTCGGGGTTTGCGCACGGAGGCAGGCGTCGGAGTCGCGAGCACCTTTCTGCGCACAATAACTTTGTACGTCTCCATCCCTTGCTGCCCACCCCAGACGATGTACATCGCATGTGGGCCAGCCATGACCGCGCGTATGTACATGGGGCACTGCCGGTTCCGCAGTGCGGCCATGATCCGCTTGGCAGATGGTGGATTGTAGAAGTGGAACGGAAGCGTGAAATTGCGCGGGCCGACGAGGGTCTCAACTGGACTGGTAGCACGCGGTTTGGGCCGGAGGGAGCGAAGCCTGTACAGATCTTCGGGCCGGTGACTGTGTTGGGTAGCTACTGCGGATTGTAGGGCGCACAGCGGCCACTCGGCCTTCCTGGTGCGCGCAGGAGAGAAAGAGGAGGACTGGAGCTGGTTGGCGAACATGCTAGAGAGGGCGATGGTAGTGGACAGAGGAAGAGACTCGTCTTGCTCATCAAAAACAATGCACTTCAGTTATCACGTCGCGCATTGTCCTGCGAATGGGCCTCCAAAGCGCTGATGTGTCGGCTCCGCGCTTTGATCCAAGCTCGTTGAGCCTGTAACTTCTTCATAATGAGCTCCAATGACGCGAGAGATGTGCTTCAAAGTGGCATTCGCTTTGCCGCCTGAGGTACCAGTCCTGAGCAGGGCCAGTCGAGCCTGGACAACTCTTCGCCAGACGTTCCAAGTGGCTCTGTTGTCTCTCAGATCCACTTAGACAAGACATGACCGGGGAGATCGCATTTCAGCGTGCGGGCAAAGTCTAGTGCGTCAGGTCAACCGAGGCTCAGCACAGCGAGACAACAAACTACTTGAATGCCAAGCCTCCGCTTGAGCCTTTCTGAGCATCTTCTGAGCACCGAGAAAGGATGGGCGTTACTGTGCTCTCCAAAGACACACATTATTCGAGAGCTGAAGTTCAACACCCTTCGACGCTCGCCTCAAGCGTCCGAGGCGCAGCGTGAGTAGAGCAGCAGACGTGGCGGTAACAATGTGGAGAGAACGCAATTGTGAAGCGTCGAATGCTCAGGAAGCAGCCCCCAGTCAGCGGCGCTCACTGCTCAGGTCTGCATCGGAGAAAACTCGACTGCTTTGGGAACGGAGATGCGCTGGCGCCGGACGGAGGGGAAGTTTCTCAATATGATGGGCTGTCACGCGCCGATCAACATTCGGCCCAGCGTCACCGTCTTGCATCTCCCCGCCGCAATCCCACTTCCATGCGATACACTCCATCTTCTGATCTGTCGAGCGAGCAGGGCTCGTATACAGCAGCACTCATCGTCTTATGGCACCGATACATGAAATCTCGTGTCGAGCGGGCCTCGTCACCGGTGGAAACCTCGCCGATCTCTGACAGAATGAAAAGAAGACACAGCTCCTTCCAAATCGTGACAAGCCGCACGTTGTCGTGCGCTCATCCGCGGGGACAGCAGCAGCAACAGCAGTTGCCATTGGTTGGCTGACGCTACGCGAGACGAACACACCTGACGGCCAGAACAGAACGAGCGAATATCGCATCTGCGAACAGAACATCGGAACGATTTTCGTGCACCGAAGATGTTCAGATCGACCGTAGTTGCGTATTCCACTGTTTCGGAAAGCAGATCTGATCCGTGATTTTGATCACTCGAGTGAACGGGGTCTCAGCGAGTTTCAATGCCAGACTATGGTCTTCGTGCGTCCGATTCAGCTGAAATCTTCTACTTTGATCGATCAGTCTCAGCGGGAGTGAATGGATAATTCGGGTAAATGGTTCCTTTGTGCAAAAATCATCCGTCTGGCCTCCCAAATGTTCTCATCCGATCCATTCTTCATTTACTAGTACGGCAAGCCCGCACATATGGCCGTTTCGTAACATCTTCCTTATCCATTCATTGACTTCCTGGTCTCGACCAGTGACTCGCGGCCACAAATTAAAAACGCTGTCCTCACGTGACTAATATCTATTATCTCCCAACTTCGGCCACCCATCTAGTCCAAGCTTGACTTGAGAGAAGCTTAGATGGAACATTCTGAAGGAAGACGCATCCACTTGTCACTTCCTGGACATGTTTAATAGCTCCTCAAGCCGGACCACGGAAAGTGGCATCTTTGTGCAACTCCGGGCCGCAACGACTGATCTCAGGAGACTCGAGGGATCGACGACCGCAGGGTTCGTCTAGTTACTTGTTTCGCCGTTTGTTAATCTCAACGATACTTCCAATTCCTCCCTTCTTTTCGCCGATATCTGATGAACCGGATGCATTCTTTAAACGGGCTGAAGAGTGACTCGGCCGCCGCATACATTGAGGGTGCACAGCAAAACGTGATCATGCGTGCTGTACTGGATTTCTCCATTCTGATCTGAACTCAATGTCTTATCCTTTCCGGCTCTGTCGAAATTCCGGGTACCTCTGACACAGAACATGAGATCAGTGATACCTTTACATGGCAATCTTGAACGAACGCTCTGCCACAGCCATTGATCCATATTCCATTGGCTCTGACGTCGCCGTTCCCCGTTTCTCTCCGACAGCCGCACCGCATGGTCCCCCAGTCCTCGCAGTTAGGGCCGATCCGGCGTGTTGAAATGGAGGGTCAAACAACTTGAAAACCATGTGCTTTGTAGATGACAGGTACAACGTAGGCTGCAGATGTGACCTTTGTGATGATGATCAGATAGGTGGCGGTTTGACTGTTGAAATTTCATGTTAGGACGAATTTTAACCTGCGTATCTGACCAATCGATAATCCAAATATCTCAGTATTCATCTTGGACAAAATAGCGACATTTGAAGTCTCGGGAGACGGTATTTAGGGCCACGTGCCATCACGAAATCAATTCAACACGGTTCCCTTCAAGACCTTTCAACCATCGGCAGACTACTGCCAGAGGAGGTCTGTGCCGTGAGCATCAACATGCTGTTCTCTCGTGTCTCAATTTCCTGGCTCGCTAGAGTGACGCTTAAGCGAATCGTTTTTGCAGCGACCCCTTTCGTGTAGTAATAAACTTTCCGACATAGTCTCATTGCAGACACGTGTCGCGTCCGTTGTTCACTCGAGGTCGCCAAGAAATGAGCGGCATATGTCTTTCCAACACCTGCGGATTGCTGTGGCGCGAGGGATTCACGTTCTTGTACTGGTAAGTGGCTCAGTTCTGTCCTTCTCAGGTAGAACTATTGCACGGTCAATTTTGATCAGAATGCTCTCGTTTCGAGAGTCCTAGCTAGCCAGCCTTGTCCGATATTTGGCGCCATACGACTGGTGATCACAATTCCCTCTCAAAGTAGCCGAAGAACCCACGAGAGATTGGATAGTCCAAGTCAGAGGCGCTATAATAGAAACCTTGTGTAAGGGCCGGGATACCTCGGAGACTATCGTCTATATTTTTCCAGACAAGGACTTCGCTGGAAAGCTAGACGAGAACAAGCAATGATGATTGTCGACAGAATGGGTTTAACATGCCTCACGGATGGAGTTCCGTGAGTATGGAGGTGAGGTTGAACGAGGGAACATTGATCCAGAAATTCTGACACATTCGTAACTTGGAACAAAATACTCACTCTCCTCCTCTGAAGCAGCTGAAAGTTACTGCATATGATGACAACGGTAGAGCAAGTTTCTGGAAGTGATTGGTCCGAGTCTGATGATGTTGTTGTCACAGCAATTTCATGTATGTCGCACGATGGACAACCGACCCACATGCGCTCTGGAACGGTCTAGAGCCAGCCAGAGCCCTTGCAGCGGCGAACCGAGATCGGTACTGGCCGATAATTGGTCACCAGCCTGTCGGGGCCCGAGGGATCAAGGAGAACGTGCCCGCGAAAACGGCCAGTCGGAACCGACGATCACGTCCCAGAACGGACAACGTGCGGCGAATCCTTTTCCGGCCAGAATCCCGAACGCTGACGTCTCGAGTCGATCGATAATGTGCTTACATAAATATGCAGACGCTTGGCCGGCCAATGCCATTTGCGCTTGGCGCAGAAGCATTTCTGTGTGGAACAGAGATCTTCGATCTTCCAATCTCCAAGATACGTTGGTTCGTGGTCCAGCGCTAAGGTCCAACAGCGTGGTTGTCACCTCCAAGGATCAACTCGCATTCATGCAAACGGAAGTTTTATCACACTCCTGTTACTTGCGAGGGGCCAAATGCACGATTCACACGGAGGATTTTTTCACGATCGATCCTCAATTCAAATTCGGAGGATTCAGCCGTGGAGTAGGAACAGAGGGGTTTGCCGAGAGTTGACGGCTGTTGGCGGGTGTAAACGATCAACGGATCGACAATGTTGCGAGCTGACGCAGGAGTCACAAATGCAGGAAACGTGTGACCGAAACACAGACCTATAATTTCAACGCTGACCTTGGTGAGTCTCTTTTTCTTTCGCGCTCCTTATGGCATACAGCTCCGATGCGGTGAAATTAGAAAGCTCACCCTCACCGTCCTCTAGCATCGCCCCCACGTTCCGGTTCCAACTGCACTCTCCGCCGGAAACCGCGTCGCACCCGCCCTCCCGCGCTCAGACTCCTGGACTCGCATTGCCCGCATTCCGTTTCGGCGCTGGCGGCAGTGCAAGTGCGTCGGGCGCGCAGCCAACGCCAGCCATGGCCTGGCCTGCGGGAACACCCGCATATACCCTTCCGTTTGCCGACTACGAACTCGATCATGATGATGATGATGAAGAAGGATCTGGCCCGACGGGCAAGGACAAGGTGGTGAGGAGGCGGAGCAGCAAAGGTACGCCGACATCGCCTCCCTTCGCTCGGATCTTCGCGGTCTCATGCATCCACCCTCCCTTTCTTCTTCTTCTAGCATGCGATCAATGCCGCAAAAGCAAGTGCAAGTGTGAAAGACCCGCTCAGGGCGAGGCTTGTCGCAGTTGCGCGCTGATGGGAACAGGTGCGTGCGCGGGATCTCAACGTGCAAGCTCGGCTGACGCGTTGCTCACTTCTCTTTCCTTACCGCGCGCTAAACTCAAATCATCCTCGGTCATTTACGCACGGCACTCTCCCGCCAGCATGCACATTCCTCGGTCCGAGTCGCAAACGCGGTCCGCCGAAGGGTTACATCGATGCAATTGAAGCACGGCTGCATCAAACCGAGGCGCTCATCGGCATTCTTCTTACGGCAGCGGGTGTCCGTGCTGAGCCGACGGGGCTAGTAGACGCGTCGGAAGAGGAGAACGGTGGCGCACGGAAGGAGATTGACCGCATGGCACGGTCGGTGCTGATGGACATGGCAGAAGTGCGTCTTGTGGTTTCCGCCGAAACGATCATAGAATTCATTGACCGTCTTCCAGGATCCACTTGCACGAGCTATTCTCACGCGAATCGACCAGAGCGCTTATGGACCAGGTGGTAGAGCCACTTTGGGAACCGGATTTAACGGCGGAGGCTCCGGCCGAGGAAGTCCGAGTGGTCGAGCACGAAGCACAGGGCCAGCCACACCCAGTCTGAGCTCCAGCGGCGAGATTTCCAGCACACAGTGCGTATTCCGCTCGTTTCCCAGTTTCCGCGCGACTGACGATGTATGCATGACGACCAGTCCCTCACATGAATGGATGGATCGCGTGACTTCACATGTCCTTCTCCGAGCCCGAGAGCGGCACCATTCTCGTCCACCCTCCATACGGGCCTCCGGCTCTGTCACACCCAACGGAACCCTGTCGCCATACCGATACGCATATCCCCAGTCAGCCTCATCGACCAACCAGCGCACAAACCAACTGCCAGCCATCATAACTGCTTTGGGAGACTATGCCCGACCCTCCTATCCCGCTTCAGCTGGAGCAGCTGAGCCACGCGGAGCATTCGGACCTGATCCGCGGTCCTATCCGGTCTCGGCAGGCGCCGCTGTCTCGAATGAGGCACGACCACTCACTGCTCCGGGAAGCACAGAAAGACGACAGCGGCGCCGGATCGACGAGACGCTGTACAGCCCCAGCAGAGATCCATCACCCCCTGACACGGAGAGCGAAGCCGAACTCGACATCGATGTTGGGGCCGAGCGCGACGAATCTCACCGGGGCCGTCGGCGACGAAGTGAAGAAATGGCGGGTCTGGCGGGTGCTGTAGGCCAACTCAGTCTGAACGAGGATAAACAAGTTCGGTATCATGGGAAAGCC